TAGAAGGCGGATTGCCCCACAACTCCAAAAAATCCCAACGCCATTTCACCCGCTTCGGGTGTACATTATGGACAGGTCATCATGCACAGTTGGGGCAGGATCGCTGCAGTCGCCACAACCCGCCTAATGTCTGTAAATTGTATCACGAATTTTAGAAAAAAGTACCGATGGGCGGATGCAGACCTCATGATATGCCATACAGGATGCCACACTCTAGCGGCTCCATGTTTGGACTCCAAACCACAATTCCTGCTGCCGCGCCGTGAACACTGACGAAGAGGGGTAAATCCAGGATGTATTCCAGCTAGATACGCGGTCATCACTTGTTGTTTATATCTCGTGTGAATACCTCTTCGTGTGCTCCTCTGGCGGCCTTGAAGCACTACCTGGCGCAGCAGGCACCTTCTCAAGTTGCATTTTCATTATTTTCGTTGCAGTTGTACGGGTACATGTAGGCCCCTGTCATACTATCAAACGTTTGAGCGTATGACTTCTTGCAGCATAAATTGGTTATAAGACTGGTAAACAATACCGGCAAATTCACGTAAGCATTACAAGGAAATCCACGTAAAGAAAGCTTGCTTAAAAGCATTATTGCTTGTGCCTTTTTAGATTGTTGATGACTAAAGCTCCTCACATGCATTGTACAGCGTCCGTTCGTTTCTTCACGGCATCGCTTTGTCTCCCATAACATTTGGACACATTGTGCGCGTATAAATGCATCCATACAGTTATTCCTTCTAATTATTTTAGCTATTTCACATTGTAAAGCGACTCCTAAACCGCGCTCCAATCTCTGGTCCCTACTGCCTGCAGCTCCCAATTACCTCAGCAGCAGCAAATACATGCGTCAGCACCAGCATCAGCCAGCGTAAGGCCCTTAGGGGTCGCGACCCCCTGCCCAAGGATATGACTTAACCGAAACACCAAGCATTATAAGATGACTGCTGCTGCGTGATTACCCTGCAGGTTGCCTTGCCTGGCAGGCACGCCAGCCGACATGTGTGCATCATTTAAAATCGATTGTAGGCTGTAGTAGCTGGCCCCGCTGAAAAGGCCTCACGAGATTATGATGCTGGTGGAGGCGCTTAGCGCGGATTTGTAGTTGTTCACGGTGCCGTACACTGTACCGGCTACTACATCGGCTCGTTCTGTGTGTTGAACAGTTTGGCTGTGAATCATGAAATGTTTTAGGGAGTATGGATGGTCGCAAGAGGCATTGGGGTCGTGGGGTCGTGATTAATAAAAATGTTACACGTCGACAAACAAAAAATTTTAGCATCCCATACACTCCACAGAAAAAGAAAAAATAGTCCATATATTCAATATACGTGAAGTAATGTAACATGCATTAGCGGGGTCATTTCACATCCATTCTGAAATTATTAATAGTTTCAGGTAAATATACTCACACGTATGTAAAGAAAAAATAAGAGGAATTAAAGGAAGAAGAAGAATGAATGAATTGAATAACGATTAAATTAACGAAATTTATGCACGTATGGGGTTTTATCCCATACAGAAACGATTACAGAAGAATCAGAAGAAGAAGAATTAATTAATTAGCAATCATTAAAGGAGATTGTTGGAATATGTATTCGCCTAATTAGGGGTTCATATACAGCACCAGACATACACATACATACCATTCCATTCATCGAATCTAGTATATATCGGAGCAGCCACATCAGTGATGAATGAAAGGTATAAAATTAAAGCGAATGAAAGGTATAAAATTCACAGGCGCCCGCAAAAACCTGACCATACACAATACCCTGATTAGAAATAATGAATAATATCTAAGCAACACATGTTATATAAATGATAATAATGAATGAATAATAAGAGGATAGTACGAATTAATATTTTTTGCGTTCCATCAATGACCACTCCTCCCTGCATATGCAGAAAATAAAGGCCACGTCATGACATCATTATTATTACTTAGGGTTTTAACGTCAGGCAGCCTCCACATCATCCATCATGACAATAATATCATCACGGGGACAGGAAAGACTGAAATCTTGGGCAGCACAGGCGCTTAGAGATCACCACAGTTGAGTTAGGCGGTACACAGTTGTTGTCATTAAACAGGGCAACCCTGCATGCCGTAAAAACATAAAAAATAAAAGTGTAAGTATATCTTACATATTGGAACACAAACAGCAATAGATAGATAGATAGTAGTATCCCCTGGATAATACACAGATAATATTTCTGGCATTCACTACCTGCCTACCCCCTGGTTGGTAACTCTGTAGTATCCTGTAGTATCACGGCATCTGACATCCGCTGATCGGTTCTTTTTTTCTGAAAAAGACGTGATATAACAAATTCTTGGCTATAGCTAGCTAGTCATCGAAATGAGCCGGTCACCCTGACTGCGTATGAACCTGCTGCTGCTGACACTTCTCCAAGTAATAATAATAATAATAATAATACTTTAATAATAATAATAATACTTTAATAATAACAATAATAATAATGATAATAATAATAATAATAATAATAAAAGGCATAGCAGAGAAATAAAACGCAACCAATAAATAAAGTGAATGAATAAAATGGATAATAATGAGTATAGAGCCCACCAGCAGAACGATCCTGACGCGCCCTCTCGTTCGCAAAACTCGTTGATGGTGGTAGGCTTGAACAGCTCAAGACAGATCCTGGTACCATTCGCCTGCGTCTTGCTGAAGTTAAGGTTGCTGATGGTGGTCATGTTCAGTGAGTCCCATCTGGGAGTGAGATAGGTCATGTTGCTGACAGGCGCACCAGCCAGGAGGACCCCAAAGGCCGACAGACGGTCGCGCTGGGCGGCCTGAGCGTAGACGGATACCTTGGATAAGTTCTGGGAAGCGGGTTCTGTGTAGCATGCGCCCTGCATGCATGGATGGCAGTCCATGAATAGTGAGTGGGCAGATACATATGTAGTTAGGGTGTCGTAGGCGCTCCGTCCTTGTGCAAGCACCGGCGGCGATGTTATAACTATTTCCATTAACAATGCAAGGACAAAAAAGGTCTATCGTATGTCACTATACATTTCGACCATTCACCATCCGAGTCGTTCCGGGACGGCGGCCGCATTGGTGAACCACAATAATTTTTGTTAGAGAGTAACAAATAAACTTACGGATCCAGAGTTCACGATGCCGATCTCAAAGCAGTACAAGTTGACCACGCCGGGATTGCGAGATGTCAGCTGAGTGGCTGCCGACTTGATGGCGAAGGGTGTAAGCTCTCGCTCGCACCTGCACGTGCATGCATGCATGCGGCAGCCGTGTGCGAGTAAGGTTACTATTCATGCACGGCGGAGCGAGGCAGCGGTGGCGGCGGGCAGTGGCATAGCAGAAAGATACAACGCTGAACGAGCGAACGGCACATACATACAACAAGCTTAAGCACACACCACCGGCAGCCATGACCGCGATGACGCACTGAACCGGCAGCAGGCTCCAACACGGCCACGCTCGTTTGCCGCCTGGCGCCGCTACTTATTTATTTAACCTATATTTACCTAGCTATCTTCTGTTCGCTGACGCGACCAAAACAAGGATAACAATTCAGTGAAAACGCAATAACACTTACCTCGCTCAGCTGAGTAGATCGATCTTGCTCACGTACGTACCTGGCGAGTTCGGGACTTATCACGTACGGAATATTTTTTCTTGTAGGTAACTGCAGCTACTGCTGATGATAAAGCAGGTACGGGCTAGTTCTTAGTTTTTTAATGTATCGTGGATGGGAAGTACGTAGTTCTATATACTAAATAAAATATTACATGTGCAGGGAAGAAAAGGGGGAAGAGAGAGACAAGGTGGGGGGGAAAAGAGGAAAAGCGCTAGCGCTACATGTATATGAGCCTCTCATCACAACGGCGACGGGAAGTATTTTTATTATTGACTCCTCAAAATATGTAGTGTGACATTATTACAGAAATATAGTTGTAGAGTTATATGCATGTATTTACCCGCCGCACGCCGCATGTGAACATCAACGGATCACAATCGGCTCGTCCGCTCCGTCCACGTCTAGGTATGTTGCTATTCTAAAGACGGGCGGCGTATTTACTACTAATTTTTATGAGTAGGAAACACTACTGCAATTCGTGGTTTAAGGTCCTGGTTTCGATTCCTGGGTAGACCCCCGACATTGTCGAGAGCGTAAGATTATGGCTAGCTGCTGAGATGTGGAGTTGAGATCACAAGCCCTCTATCTCTTCGGATGTTCGGGTGAGAGGATGAGGAGGGATTCTAGAAGGCAGGACCAACCGCCTTGCAGTTCGTAAGGCTTAGTACAGTGTGGTAATGGTGAATGGTGGTGTTCTATGCTGTGTTCAATCCTAGATATGACAAATCAAATGTGTACAAATGGCCCAGATTCCGTAACAACAACAGCAATGTTTCTGTTTAGTAATAAAGAAAAAACTGGACTCACGTGCGTATATGCATATGCTCGCTTGCAGGTTAAAACGTAGTAGTAAGTCAATGATAATAATTTACTTTTTCTCAAGGTAAATAATGTGCGCAAGTAATAAGTGAAGATAAGTTTAGGGCATTATGCGTCGTCTCGCTGGTGACCGAGCGCAATGACCGCCAGCAGCAGCAGCAGCTGGCAGCAGGAGCGTTCGTCGGGAGCGAAAACGCTATCAAGGGATGGATTAAGGATAATCCTATTCTATTTATGCACACATATATATGTCTCATTATTACGATGCATACATATACATATGTACCGCATACAAAAAAAATCTGCATACCTGCAGCTGGGAAATTTGACATCGACAATTTGGCCCGTGCAGAGCCCAACAGCCATGAAGACCCTGCGCAGACAGACACACAGACAGGCAGACAAACAGCAGGGGCTGTCTGAATCTGTCGCGCATAGAAATGTATAGTATTGATCCAACCATACTACTTACAAGCACACCGCCAAAAGTGAGGCGGTTGCAGAATTGACGACCACTACTGCCATTCTGTAGAAGTGGTATCTCCTTGTTCGTGTCGAACGGGATGCCGAGCGCGGGCCTGCGTGAGGGGAGCGCCGCTACAAACGTAGCTGGCTGAGGTACGTAGCTGCTGGGATGACTGAACAAGGCAGCGGTGTGTTGTTTTTTGTGGACTGATAGTTATTGGGAAATCAAATTATAATTAAAATGAATGTGAATATTACTGTATTGTATGAATTGTATTGTTTGTTTGGCAAACAAAAGATCGACCGCTTATATTCTCATTTCCTCGACGAATGACTAAAGCCTTAGTAATACTAATTCCCGCGCGCGTCGGCAAAAAGTCTGATCGTCTAGAGAGAGGGTCATCGTATGAAAGGTAGTCCTTAAAATAGATGGCCTACAGACGCTCAAAAATGTTTGATCAGACGCGTACAGCGTCCGTTCGTTTTCCGTCGGAGTGTCGCTTTGCACTAGGTGGTGCGTCCACGCGCGTCGGTAATTGCCGCAGCTGGTGGTAGGTACAATCTGGGAACCGGCCTCCTTTCGATTTCCTCGGGAATCCCTCATTTGGCGTTCATTTCTTTTCTTGTGCTCATTTCGTGCTCAGTTCGGAATGAAGGGCTGAGGGGTCTTCAGAACATGTCGAAGGAGTTCGGCGAAAGCGGTAGGTATGTAAGAGGTAGGTAGGTAGGTAGTACCGGTAAATTAGTGTTGCCTCAGTGACAGGGAATGCGGCATCCTCCCATGTAAATTCACTCTTATTGTTGAAATGACCGCTCACCTGCGCTCACCGTCTTCTATGCGCGGTAAATAATGGTCCTCCACTACCCACGTAAGATGGGATGCCACCCATCCAGGATTCGGGACTGCTAGTGCGCGACCTCCTGCTGGTCTACAGTCGCTTGCACCATAACAGACACCCTACCGGTGGGGGTTTTAGGGTTTTAGGATTTTAGGGTTTTAACAGGATGGGTACCCATCCATAGCGCTAATTGCTTCCACCAGGATCGCTACATCCCACACACATAGTGTTGCATTGCCGCCGCTGCCAAACTTCCTCCTGGGATATTGCTTTGGTGTCCCAGTCTTATATAGCAATTTGGTTTTAATGACCGCTTGCGCGGCGGGGCAGGTCCAAAACTGATGTATTGATGTGTGGAAGTAATGATGCATAGATCTAGGAGACTGCGCTCTTGACGGTAAGGTGTGACGAAGCGCCACCGCGTGCATGCAATTATTGGTGTGTATATATGGTATATAGCTGTCTGCATATGAAAACGTTCCCGAACATTGGAATACCACCACCACCACCACCACCAACTGACAGTCACCCCGCCAGGTTTCCTTTCCCGAGGACTTGTTCCCAGCGAACCGTTGAACCAAACGCGATGGAGCGCATGTTGTAAGGCATCAAATGCCCAAGATGGAGTTTGCTGTCGGGAAGGGATGTAAATTGCTTCTTCCGCGCAAAAAGCACATGAGCTTAATTAATTGCGGTCGCCGTCCGGGCGATACGAGCCAACCGTCGTGGCTACTTTAACGGCCAAATCTCGCCTTACACGCGCCCTGCTATCATTAATATAAACTTTCAACCTAACGTATTGAGCACCAACCTTTGTACAGCAATGTCCTCTAAGGATGGTAGGTAGGCTATCTTGATCTTCCGGCGTAACAGGCCAGATAGACATAGCAGCAGCATGCTGCCACGGCTTGCTGGTGCGTCGGCTAATAATGCTTCGATCGCCTCTAAGCAGCATTTTATTTTCTGAACCCCAAGAAAACGCGTTTGGTGTGTGGCGTGGTGAGGGCTAATAAGATACATGCACACGCCATCTCCCGCGCCTCTCCGCGCCACCTCCTTGTCCCCTCTGCCGTACATCTCATCGACGCCTATTCGTTATTTTGAAGGACCGAATCATTTTTTGTTTAGCATGCTTTTTTGATGTCTCCTCCAGGGTTTGAAGTGCATGACACCCCAACAACTCCGGGTGTTTGCGCGGTGCTCCAATCCTTGGCGCACGTGCTCCCGTGCCCCGCTGCATCCATCTGAAAAGCTAGAAGGCGGATTGCCCCACAACTCCAAAAAATCCCAACGCCATTTCACCCGCTTCGGGTGTACATTATGGACAGGTCATCATGCACAGTTGGGGCAGGATCGCTGCAGTCGCCACAACCCGCCTAATGTCTGTAAATTGTATCACGAATTTTAGAAAAAAGTACCGATGGGCGGATGCAGACCTCATGATATGCCATACAGGATGCCACACTCTAGCGGCTCCATGTTTGGACTCCAAACCACAATTCCTGCTGCCGCGCCGTGAACACTGACGAAGAGGGGTAAATCCAGGATGTATTCCAGCTAGATACGCGGTCATCACTTGTTGTTTATATCTCGTGTGAATACCTCTTCGTGTGCTCCTCTGGCGGCCTTGAAGCACTACCTGGCGCAGCAGGCACCTTCTCAAGTTGCATTTTCATTATTTTCGTTGCAGTTGTACGGGTACATGTAGGCCCCTGTCATACTATCAAACGTTTGAGCGTATGACTTCTTGCAGCATAAATTGGTTATAAGACTGGTAAACAATACCGGCAAATTCACGTAAGCATTACAAGGAAATCCACGTAAAGAAAGCTTGCTTAAAAGCATTATTGCTTGTGCCTTTTTAGATTGTTGATGACTAAAGCTCCTCACATGCATTGTACAGCGTCCGTTCGTTTCTTCACGGCATCGCTTTGTCTCCCATAACATTTGGACACATTGTGCGCGTATAAATGCATCCATACAGTTATTCCTTCTAATTATTTTAGCTCTTTCACATTGTAGAGCGACTCCTAAACCGCGCTCCAATCTCTGGTCCCTACTGCCTGCAGCTCCCAATTACCTCAGCAGCAGCAAATACATGCGTCAGCACCAGCATCGGCCAGCGTAAGGCCCTTAGGGGTCGCGACCCCCTGCCCAAGGATATGACTTAACCGAAACACCAAGCATTTTAAGATAGCGGTTTCGCGATTTCGTTACTTTCAATTACATGTCAACAAATGTCCTCCAATCCCAACCCGTTATAATCGACGCCAGGCTACGGCCGGCCGGCTGAAGTAACGAAATCGCAAATAACGCGTTATGGTATCCCGTCTTGCTCAACTGCTTCCCTGAGATGAATCGAGCGGTCCCAGCGGCTTTGGGGGTCGGAATATGCGGGAGGAAATCAGTCCAGCACACTATGGGGCGATTGCGCGATCGGACTTGAGCAAATGAGACGGTGTAAACGAATGCCTGCCTGCCTTTCCCAAAATTGACTGGAATATATTGCTGCCATATCCGGTATTCTATTGGTAGGTTTAGCGAGATTAGTCGTGTGAAGTTCGTTAGAGGTCGGGAAGTGGTTTGGGGCTGAGGCTTAGCAGCAGGTGCAGACGGGCCTGCAACATAACACCCCGACCGCTTACCGTTACCCAGCCGACGGCTATGCTGGTTTGAAAGCATAAGATTACATACTTTGATGCACTTCCAAACGCACAAGGGAATGGAGGATTCAGATTAGCACTGCCGTACGGTATTGTCAGGTTGGGCCCTGCACATGGCTAACCGCCTACGACAGCCCTGTTCTAGGCTAGACTATTTTCATACCTTGGCAATCTTCAATGCTTCTATGCATGTTTCTCTTAAGAATGCAAAATTTTTGAAGCGATGGTGGACGCGTTCGAGAGCTAGGGCCAAGATCGACATTTAGGTTCCGACTTGTTACTTACGCATTGGTTTACATTATTCCTGGTTTACGACGTTATATCTTAGAATGCGTTACATAGGTCGCCTTGTGGTGGGGTTGCTCGCCGTTGCAGCCTGCCATCTCGCGGGCGCTACCTTGAATGTCCAAGAGGCAGGAGTAGTCGTCACCTACCCCGAATTCAAACGTATTGATATGGCTATGGCAGACTTCGGCAGTCCGAAGTATGGGGGTTTTCTCAGGTGGGCCTGGGCAGATATCCACATTCGGTTTCCTGTAATTTAATCTTACATTTAATTGGCGCTCTGTTGACATCTTGTTGGTGTGTAGGGGCGAACTGGTCTACATCTCGTCACAGGAGAGGTATTCCAACAACCAAATGTATTATTGCTTTCCTACGGATTGCGAATACGGCTGTAACCTGAACGTAAGAGTGCTTTGGGGCGTGACAGGTTCTCACCTTCATAGTTGGCGCGTGCAGATGCCAACAAGGCGCTCACATTTCGGCATTCATGCCCGGCACCGCTGCTGAACTCCCCTATAGCTTCCCTGCAGAGAATTACCGAACGTCGTCCACTGTGCGGCGCTACGCCCCCTCCTCCCCTTCAGTTTATCGACCCTACACCCTTCCACGGCCTCTGATCCAGATTCAAAAACCCAGATTGGATTTTAAATCTAGATCCATACCCTCTCCTTCAACCTCTCTCTCTCCACTGTTGCTTTCCCCGTTTCTGCGGATTCCTGCAGGTACTCCTCATCCTCCCCCCCCCGCCATGCATCCTCCCTCCGCCATTTTCCCCCCAACTCCCCTCGACGACCTCCCCAGACGTGTTCTGTCAATTGAATACGTTCGTTGGGTTATTGCGGTTTCAATTCCCCACCTACCAATTTTATCCATCCCCAGTTCTTCGGGGTGACGCGGCTGTTTCCCCCTCTTTGGATTTGTCCTGTGCCGGTTTTGTTATTAATTCTGCTGCTGCTGCTACTGCTACTGCGACTACTACTGCTGCTGCTACTGCAGACATCCAAACCTTCGTTTGTCCTGCCTAAGGGGACTCCTTGGATTATGATGATGGATCGCGGCCCAAGTAAGGATTGCCGTAAACCCCAAGTCAATTGCCGTAGTTATAGCGCCAATTGCCGTACATATAGCGGCATGCATGTGTCAATCCGCGAGGGGGAGATTGTGGGAAAGTGTACGGCAATCATTCATTCTGGGACGACGAGCGGGGTCCTCCATTTCGAGCTGCCCTTAATATGGTGCATGGGTGTATGCGGGAAGGGGTTGGTGGATAAGACGGCCCGTCGGGTTTTTGGCTAACCGCTAACCGCTAACCCAACATAACACAACGGTTTTCCTTACACAGCGCTTTTGGGGCCTGGCTGGTGAGGTGGTGGTGGGACAGCTTATCACAGTACCCCGGGACAGTCACATCGACAACAGCATTCCGTTGGAGATGGATTTTTCTCAGTTCCTCTTAAGTTCCATTAAGAGGATGAACTATAGGGGATGAACTGAAGGGTCGGACCCCCCATTGAGCCTCCATAATCACCATTTTCGTTTTAATCTTTTTATATATGCTATAAGAATTTTTAGCCAGCCTTCGTACACTGTACGGCATTTTTTCCCACAACCCCATTTCCCCTCCCTCCATTGTACGAGTCTCAGAGGATGATCCGTGCTACTTCCTGGACAAGGTGTATAACGCCCAACTGGCGGGAGCGGTCGGGGTGAGTGCAGGTGTCGTAGTTGTACGGCGTGGTTCGTGGGTTTCGGGGCGGAGGGGTGCCGCTGTGTCGCTGTTGTTATTACAGCGGGGTGCCGCTGTCCTGGGGGGTGAGGGGGGACGACGAACCACAGACGAGTGATGCAGCAGCAGCAGATGATGATGATGATGATGATACCCCAAGAAATAGGCGGATATTACTCCGCAGGATTTTAGAACTTGCTTACAGATATACATATTGCATCAGGAAATTGTAAGAATATATACACGGATTATAAGTAAGAAGTTACCAAGGGGATTTGGGAGTTTTAGGGGTTATGTGAGAGGGAGGGAGGTTGGGTTTGGACGGGATGGGGGCTGAATGATGGGGGGAGAGTAGTCATGCGGGTGGGGGGTGGGGCCGTTGAGGTTTTTTTGGGATGTGGAGTGGCAGTTTGACGGGTTCTTCATTCATGTTCTTCATCTTGCATGTGTTCGAATCCCCTTGCGCGCAAGGTGTTGGTGGCTGATAACGAGGATGAGGAACTCACCACGGCAGGAGCTCCTGATACAGACGACACTGTAGAGTGAGTCGCCGGCAGGAAGTTGATGAAAGTGATGAAAAGTACTGTCATGGTAGAAGAAAATTATCATTATTTATATTTATTTATTTATTTTGCTTTACCTTCGGACATAAAATTGCTTATGATGATAATAGATTTTAATGCCATTTGATGCGTAAAAGAAAAATGTTGGATGTTGGAATAACTAAAAGCTCTTTTAATGTATGGTATGAAAAATGTCGCCTCATGAGGAGCAACGGGAACGGGAATACAAGTATAGAATGCCATTTAGGATTTCCCCATGAACTGGCTTTAAGATTTCAAATAAAATTATTATTATTTTTTGTGGAGAACTCGAAAGTCTGTTACTTTTTTACCTTTGGAACCATTCCTAAAAAAAGACAAGAACATTTAGGAATGGATTCGAACTGGGATTTTAAGGCTTTGGCCAATGACGCAAACATGCAGACGAACGGTTTGCGGGGGAAGGACACTCAGCCCTTTTCCCTTATACAACCGCCACTGCCCCATTCACCGTCACCTTCGCCCCGGGGGGCGGCTCTGCTCGTTAACGCATACTGGCTTCATCCACTGGCCCTCCTCTTTTGACTTCAAACGGCGACAGTCCTCCATTCCTTATATACTTGCACTTATTTCCTTGCGTATGATGTCCCCCCCTCCCCCCTTCCTTCCATTTCATACATATACCCATCCACCCATCCCTCCACCCATGCCTCCGTTTATCTCCCCACACACCCCCACACACCCCACACACTCAACAAAGTGAGCTCCGCAATGTGGACATATCCGCGGGGGTCATTAAGAAGGCGGATGCGGACTACTTGAGGGACTTGTTGAAAGGCGGGCGCAAGGTCGGGCTGATGCTCAACTACACGGCCTCCGTGCCGCAGTCAGCCAAGGTGGGGGTGGGGTGGGGGGTGGGGGTGCGGGGGGGGGGTAAATGTGTATGTGGTGTGTGTTGCGGGGCTGGGGTAGAAGGTAACGGGGCAGGGGGGCCAGGGGCCCTGGTTTTGACTCTGTCAACACCCCTGGATGATGTATGTATGTATGTTGGAGCCGACTATAGCATTGCACCATTTGGTATTTTGATGTTTACGATCCAGATAATGTACATCGGGATGCAACCTGCTTTACATTTGTAGAAAAAAGCTAGGATGCGGAAGTTACTGAGAATTCTTGTGTTGTCGATACAATTTCAGACCGAGGTATCCACTCGGTAGGGGAAAAGAGGACTTTTCCCCTGGTGGGTCTCCTTCCGCCCTGTGTCAACACTCACCTCGTCATTTTTTGATTCACCGGCGGTTCCTATTGTTTCTGTTCCCCCTTCCCTCCTTCATCCCCTTCGAAGCGGGGGGCCCTGCACCGCGTTGCCCTCTGCCTCCGCATTACTCTGTCTGAGTCGTGATGTCTTGTAAAATAGTACAACAGTTAATAGTTAATAATAATAGTTAATAATAATAATAGTTTTATAATTGTCAGTCTTTTTAAATAACAACAGCATTACTTGTTGGCGCATATTATATTTTGAACTTGACACCCCTCACCCAATCACCCTACCGCCTCTCCTCCTTCCCCTCCTTCCCCTCCACCTCCTTCCCGCCCTCCTCCTTCCCCTCCACCTCCACCTCCTCCCTCCCCCCCAGGTGAACTGGGAGTACTGGGCCGGCACTACGGACGTGTGCGGCTTCATGTGCCAGGAGCGTGTCAATTTCACCCAGGTAGGGTTTCAAGGGGGGAGAGGGGAAGGGTGGGAGGGGAGAGAAAAGGAGGGGGCAGGAGGGGGAGGTGGGCGGGGAGCCCGGACGAGATGGGTCGCGGAGGGTTCCGTAAGGGCCTTCACCTTTTTTTTAAAAATGATCTCTCGTTCTCCAGGTGGGGGGGGGTTTGCAGGCCGCCACGGAAATGTGTTTTCGACCTCTCCAGACCCCTAACTGGTTCGACTTGTTATTACTGAACATTGGGGTGCAGCACATTTTCTTATCACATCTCGA